CCCCGGACTTTAAACCAGGTTTAAGGGAAGGGTGCATAGCGAATGCAATATCAGAAACTGACTTGGCTCAAGACTGCGCAATCTTATATGTTAGGTGCACTGCCCAGTGTACCTCTTGCGGGGTAGGCGTTCTGCCTTGTGTATTTTTCGCGGTTCGCAACAACGGACAAAGGCCACGTCCTTTTATGATCCACGTCCCGATCCCATGGCTTCTCTTGCCCCCCTTGTTATGCTTGCCATCGAGGAATGAGATGTGGGATACTTCGATTCGTCGCCGGCGTTTTCCTAACTGTCGGTTTCTGAGTTTAGTAAATTTGGGCAAGTCCCGTCGCCTTCCTCTTCACTAGTTTCATCGCAAACAGAATCTGCCGCATCAACATCAACGTCACCTTCGGCGCCATCATCGTTCCCATGCCATTTTCGTTGCCGCCATCAGCATTTGTATCCTTGCACGCAAAGGGAAATATGCCGGTCTCCCGCCGTCCCTGGCGAAGCGCCCGTGGTGTTTGTTTGTGGATAGGGATGGTGGGCTTGCGCGCAGCAGTCAATATGCTGGCCCTTGGCCGTCCTCATGAGAGGCCAACGCAAAGTGACCGCGGGGCGTCCGCGCATGATCCAGATGTTGGTGCAAGGTACACATTGTATGGTTCTTTGTAAGGGATGGAGGGGGGTGTCGGCATTACGGACAGCAGGCCGTATGTTTGCCCCCCGCCGCCGTCGTACAACACATGCAGAAAGATCGCGGGGCGCCTTCGCATGATCCAGATTTGGTTGCATAGTGTGGTTGGTTTTTTGCAAAGGATGGTGGGGTCGCTGGCATGGCACACTGCGGGCAATGTGCCGCCCCCCCCCCGCCATACTTGAAACACAAGTAATGCAGCGTGATCGCGAGTCTTCCGCGCATGAACCAGATTTTGCTCCGGGGGTCTGACTCGCTTGCCAAGAATGCCAGGGCCGCCGATCCTGCTGTTGACGTGGCGGCGGCCGCTGCATATGTAGCGGAGGTCGTTGCCCCGTTTGCGGTCTGTTCCAAACCCGAGTCCTTCGCGAGCAAAGTGCGCGGGATTCGACCTCGCCAACGAGCCGTTCCGATTGCTGGTCCTGATTGTGGCTTCCGGCTTCCCGCAAAGAGCTCGGTCGGAGTCGGGATTGGGTGCTGATGCTGGACTCCTTCGCAGGTGCGGCGTTCAGGAGTGCCAAGCAGCGCGGGGCCTCCTTCAGTGCAGGCGGGAATTGGGCCCGCGGCCTGCTCCCCGAGTAACCCGTGCAGCGTCTGGTCGGGAACCTTCGGGCGGGTTGTGCCTGTCAGTCGCGTGTCCGCGCGATGCTGGACGTGTTCGCCTTTCTGTCCTCGCACGGGGCCGGGGCGCCCAAGAGGGCCCCGTGCGACTCGGGGCCAACATTCTAAATTGCATTGTAAAGGCCTTACGGCCAGTGCCGTCGACCCTGAAGGTTGGATCTCCCCCGCTCCCCCGGGAGCCCCTGCTTGCGACCCCCTGTGGACCCGCCAGGACCCCGGGGGGCAGTATTCTGACCCATTACCCCCCCACCTCCCTCCTGCCCACCCCGACAGGGAAGGGGTGACAGGAAGGCGCTTCCCTTCGTTTTCACTACGACGTTCCTTTTACTTCTTCCTCGATTTTTTTGGGACCGACGACGACGGCGACGACGGCGACGACGGCGACGACGGCGACAGCCTCCTCCAGACGCCGAAAGTTCGGCGGATCTTAAATGTAGGGATTCGGGACGACCTCGAAACGTTGACTATGAATGCCGAAGAGGATAAATAATCTGAGTGGGAGTTGGAGGATGAGGACGGGGAGGAGAAGGAGACGGAGGAGGAACGCAACTACCTGATTGTGCTCCCTCGGTCCCATTCTCCCTTCCCCGTCGTTCACTGCCCCCCCGCCCCCTTTCCTGTCACCCCTCTCATTTTGTGCGGTCCTCTGGCCAGATGGGAAGGGTCGGAAATTGTCTCTGCTTCCCAGGTGTGCATGGCGAGTCCATCGCAGAGTTCGAGGCCGCCAGTCAGCGGCAGAAGCATCGGGTTGCCCCATTGCGTCAGCGTTCCTTTCGTGTCCTCGTTCCCTCTTCTTCCCCTCTCCGACCTTCCCTCCTGGATGCCTCTGATTTTTTTCTCAACCATCCTGTGGTGTTGGGTCCTCTTTTTGAAGAGACCGCGCCTCGCGTCCTCTCCCTCTCTTCTCCTCTCTTCTCCTCTCCTTCTCCCCCTCCGCCTTCCTCCCATTCTTGCCTCTGCTCTCCGCGTGTCGCCATCATCGTTAGCATCGCCATCATCATCGTCATCAGCACCGCCAGCGCCATAATCCACATCATCCACAGCATTATCACCATCAGCAGCATAATCATCGTTATCACCATCAGCAGCATCATCATTAGCAGTATCAGTGTCATCATCAGCAGCATTATCAACATCATCATCACCATCACCATCATCGTCATCGTCATCGTCATCATCGTCGTCATCTTCACCATCACCACCACCATCACCATCACCACCACCACCACCAAGGCCAGCATTGTGAAGCACCCTCAGCCCCACTCCCCTCTCCTCTGATCCCTGCCTCTGCCGTCCGCCTGTCCCTGCTTTTGCACACTCCTCACACGCTTTGCGGCCCCACAGGGAGCTCGGCCGAAGACCTCATTATCATCGCCATCGTCAGCATCGTGCCACTGATTTCCGCATGTGCACGTTTCGGCACACCCCTCACGCAGTTCAGGGCCCCACAGGGAGCTCCGCCGATAGCCCCAGTGGCAGGGTCCGCATGCGCCCGACGCCCATTTTGACACACCGTTCACACGGTTCGTGGCCCCATAGGAGGCTCCACCGAAGGCCCCAGTGGCAGGGTCCGCATGCGCCCGACGCCCATTTTGGCACACCCTTAACAAAGTTCGTGGCCCCATGGGGAGTTCCACCGAAGGCCCCAGTGCAGTGGTGGGTCAGCATGCGCTTGACACCACCTTCGGCACACCCTCACACGTTTCGTGGCCCCATGCGGAGTTCCACCGAAGGCCCCAGTGGCAGCGTCCGCATGCGCCCGACGCCCAATTTGGCGCACCCTCACACGTTTCGTGGCCCCATTGGGAGCTCCACCGACGGCTCCAGTGGCAAGGTCCGCATGCGCACGAAGTTGATTTCGACTCATCCCTCACACGGCTGAGCCATGATAAGCGGCCGTGGGGGCCTTTGGTGTCGTTAAGCGGCTTGGGCCACCGCGAGCCCGTTGGGTAGGAATGCAACGCGCAACGGAGACAGGAAGAGAGGAGAGTGAGTTGGGAAGAACATGTAGACAACACGGCCGCTGATCGGGCTCAGGCCAAACCACGAACATTACCCGCTCGCCCGCGTCAGCGTTTCCCCCCCTCATCCACGCCGCAGTCCTGTTGCTGGCCCCCATCCTTTATTTGACATGCCTCGCGATACTCGCAGCTGCATATGGTTGGGTCCTTCGTCAGGCTTTGTTCTGATTCCGCCTTTCTCTCTCGTATCACCTATTCGTTTGCCCCCGTCTCCTACGTGAGACAATCCTGGCCTTTCCAATGCCGTCGTCGATTCTGCGCTGGTGTCATTTTTGATGTCATGTCCGCATTTGCACCCTGGAGCTCCCGTAAAATCAGTAATGGGTGGTATCCCCCTTAATCCTCCTCCCCTGAGACGCTAACGGCCGCACCCCCAGTGCTTGCCGACCCCATCTGTTCTGTTGGGACTTCTACAAATGCATCGTCTTGAGGTGCTCGTGGGCTCGGTGGTGCTCTTAGGCATGGCGTCACGCGCTGGAGGTGCGGTGCGCGCCAACATGCATAGATTGCGGCTGCTCGCAGGCGTACCGTGGTCCTGAGAGGCACGTAACCGCGCTCGCCAGCTGCGGTGGGGCTCGCTGGATCTTGCAGGACTGGCAGGGCTCGACGCACTGTCGCGCGTACGTGGTATGCTGTTGTTCACATGCACACTGCTGTGTTCATATGCATGCTGTTGCGGTGTTCACAGGCGTACCATCGCGCTCGCAGGCGCTTGTGGTATTGGCAGTGCCTGGCTTACTGTTGTGCCCACGTGTGCGGCTGTTTTGCTAGCGCGTGCACGCATGCACGCGTGGCGCTTGTTGTCTACCGTGGTGCTCGTTGGCTACTGTTGGCATCCTTGAGACTTCGTGGCCGTCTGGAGCCGTCTTGTGTCTTGTGGCCTCTTGGAGGTATGTTGGAGCCTATCCCGAATCATCTTGAGCTACGTTCTGCCATCTTGGCGGCCATCTTGGGATATTTGACGTGCTCTTGGAGCCAGCTTGGCCCAAAAGCCTCCCTGGCGCACCCGTCTGAGGCTAACACAAACACTTCTTGGGGCGCTCTTGGGTGCTCTCGAGGCCCTTGTGGGCCATATTGGATCCGCCTTGGGGTCTCAAGGCCGTGATAAGGTGAGTAGGGCACACAACATATGTTCCTAGGTTGTGGAAGGATTTTGACCTTTGGGGGCGTCGTCGGGAGGCTCCATGGCTACGTGGCGCCTCAAGGAGCCATGTTGGACGCTATCTTTTGCCGTCTTGGAGGCCACCTTGTGCTATCTCGGGCTTTCTGGAACCATCTTGGTCGCTCTAACGACCTGCGGCCCCCCCTGTCCAGACCCAGGGGAGGGAGGGGCTCGGGGGAGGGGTAAGCCGTTTCCCGAGGGGGAAGTGTTTGGGTTGGAAAAACGACCTCCGTAAAGTACCTACGCCTACAGGGCTAGCAAGACTGCGTCGAGCCCCGTGCGCTCGAGCGGACTTCCGTCTGCCGCAAACACGTCGCAGATCGCACTCCATGGTCTCACGCTGCTGCTCCTGCCTTGCCGATCCAAGCCTGCTGGCATCTCCATCCATCTCCCCTTGCATCTCCCTGCGCTTCTGCTCGCTGCGTCTCCTGCCATGCCCCTTGCCATGCCTCTTGCCATGCCCCCTGCCAAGCCCCCTGCCAAGCCTCCTGCCAAGCCCCCTGTCAAGCCCCCTGCGATGCTGCTCGCTGCACCTCCTTGCTATCCCCCCTGCACGCAAAGAGCTGGCGACAAGAAGGTGCTCCCCCTGAAGCAGTCTCACGAGCTCAATTTCCTGGCCGCGACCCAGCCGCTCATCTCCCGGGGAGGCCAGAAGCAGCCCGACAGGCTCTGGGCGGCGCGACAATTTTCTCGACGACAGGAATAAAGCTTCCGGTCCCAACGGATCAGGGGCAACCAAAGTCTCTTTCATCTATCCAATGGCCTTCGGCCCATCCCGGCATCGTGCCTTGGTTGTGGGCCTGAGGCCTCCTGGATGTGCGGTGTGATCTCGTCGAGGCCTCTCGCGGGCCTCCTGGAGGCAGTTGTGAGTCCTCTGGGTAGCTGTTTTGGGGCCTCTTTCGCCAGAGACAAAAGTACCACTACCACCAGCTAGGGGGGTGGCTGTCCCACCCTCTCGAGCTGGTGGCACCTCGTTCTGGGCATGCCTTCAGAGAGTTCCTGGAAGGAGGTGCCCCCAGCTCGAGGGGAGGGAGCGGCCACCCACCTAATTAGCTGATGGTACTGGTACCTTCGTCTCTCCTGACTCTTGGGGCCTCTTTTGGGGCCTCTTCGGGGCTCCTTTTGGGCCTCTTGGGGGCCTCTTATGGGGCCTCTTGTGGGCCTCTTGGGACCTCCTGGGTGGCTCTTGCTCGGATTTTCGGTTTTGTGATCTTTCTCGGGCCGTCTTCAGCGCTTCCTGGGCCGTCTCGAGGCCCTCTTGGGCCGTCTTGGGGCCCTCGTGGGGCCTCTGGGGCTACTTGGGGGCGGTCCTGGAGGCCTCTTGAGACGTCCTGGAGCGTCGGAAGCCCGAAAAGTGCAGAACCCCAAGAACATGTAATATCCTACTGACAATTCATGGTTCTGGCCTCTCGGGGCCTTCTTGGGAAGGCTCATGGACTCGTGGAGGCCTCTTGGGACGTCTTTGATGCCTTGTCTGCCGACTGGATGGCATCCTGGGCATCTTGGACCGATCGTTCAGCGATTCGGGGCCCTCTTGGGCCATCTTGGGGGTCTATTGGGGTAGTCTCGGCCCGTCTCGGTGCCCTTGTGGGCCCGAACAAGTCATGCGACAAGCCTCTGGAGCCACACGAGAATGTCCCCAAGAAATTTATGAGATTGGGGTCTGGCCCCCTCAAACGAATCCTCAGGATTGAGGACTGCGAACCTGATGACCCTCCAACTCGTGCCTGAAGGGCATGGTGGCGGACATATTTACGACATGATGTATCACGTTGTAACAACATCATGGTGTGATCTGGTATCAGGCCTCAGGCTCATCCAGAATTCAACCAACAATGCCGAAGCAATCTAACGGACTCGGGGACACGTTAAGGTGGTTTCGAAAACACTTGTTCCTGTCGAGATGATTATCTGAATGGCCAGGAATTTCGCGGTCCTGCGCATACCCTTCTGTGGTGCAAGCCAGCTATACACGCCCTTCCATTCAGATGTTCTTCGGCGTCGTTCCAAGAGTAGTGGAGAGGCCTTACCGCCAGTTCCGCCGACCCTGAAGTAGGATCAGGATGCCGTGGGAATGCCGCGAAGGCCGACGATTGCCCCAGAACGGCTTGAAGAGCACCTCCCGCCACCGTGTTTGGGTGGTCGACCAAAGGCCTCGAATGCAGATTGGTCTCTCGGGGTGCCGCTCGGGAAACTCTCGGAGGGCTTGGGGGCCTCTTGGGGGCCTCTTGCGGGCCTAGGGGCCTCCTGGGCGCCTTCTGTGGGCCTCTTGGGGGCCTCTGGGGGACCTGCCTCGTAGGGGCCTGCTGGGGGTCTCGGGGGTCATCTTGGGGCGGGGGGCTCGAAATGTTGGTTCGAGTTCCCCCTCTTGCGCCCTCGTGGGGCCCTCTTTGGCCGTCTTGGAGGAATATTCGGCCCTGTTGGGCCGTCTTGGAACCCACTTTGGGATCTCCTGGGCCGTCTTCGGCCGATATTGGGGGCCACTGAGGCCATCTTGGAGCGTGCGAAGACTGACAAGGCGAGAGCGCTAACATCACGCAAAACCTTCATATTGGCATGTTGGCATGCCCCCTCTCACACATTTCTGCACACCCCTCGCACTTTTCGTGGTCCCATATGGGGGCTCCACCGGCAGTGGACATGTTCGTATGGCGTCTCCCCGCCCAGCAGCCTTCACACGCTGGCTCCACCCAGTGCCGCAGTGGGCATGATCCCATGGCGTTCCCTAGCTCATTTCGGCACGCCCTCACACGCTTTGTGGCCCCTATAGGGAGCTCCACCGAACGCCCCAGTGACGAGTTCGCATGGCGTCCCCCCCCCGGCCATTTCGGCACACCAGTCACCCGTTCCGTGACCCCAGAGGGAGCCCCACCGAACACCCACGCGTGCGTGCTCGCACGGCTCTGTCCCGCCCATTTTGGCACACCCCTCGCGCGTTTCGCGGCCCCACAGGGAGCTTCACCAGTGGTGCCCATGGGAATGTCCGCACGGCTTCGCCCCGTCATCTTTGGCACTCCCCTCGGACGTTGTGTGGCCCCCACGGGGGCCTCCACCCAGGACCCAAACGGCGCTGTGCGCGCGGCGTCCCGCTGCTCATGTCGGCGCACTATTCGCACGTCTCTTGGCCCCATAGGGAGGCAGTGACACGCTTCGTGGCCCCACAGGGAGCATCGCCGAGTGGCAGAGGTCGCATGGCGCCCCCCCCAGCACATTTCGTCGCAACAGTCACGGGTTCCGTGACTTCATAGAGAGCTCCACCAGGGGCGATTCGCACAATTGCTGTACTCATGAAGGCATATGGTTGGGTCTTTCGCCAGGGTAATCTAATAGGCCCAGGTGTCTGCGCCTGTGACAGCCTGCGCCACGATAATATGGGCAAGACGATCTTCGGGAATGCCGGTAGCGGAGGCGCGCGTTTGTCCACGGGCAAGCGCAGTTCTTGAGCGGTGCGCCCGCATGCGGTCACCGCATTGCGGTGCATCGGACGCGCACCCTGCGTCGGGCCGACGGGACATCGACGGGACATCAGCGGGACACCACAGGGCCCAAGGGACACCCACACACCATGAGGGACATGTCCCTCGTCAGCGTTCCCCTGGGGCACCCAGGGATCCCAAGGTTCGCGAGCACCCAGCGAGTCACACGGGTCACAAGAGACAAAGGGTCACAAGGTCTCAAGTGTCCCGCGTGCGCCCTGGGCCGACGGTCGCATTAGTTTGAAATGTGTTCGTTTCGACCGAGCTCGTCTTGAATTCATTTGTGTATTCGAGGTTCGAGACCGAAGCGACGCGGAGTCGCCGAACCTGGAAATCGGCTGCGGTTTCGGTTCGTGTCGCGCGTGTGGGAGAGGCGAAGCAGCGCGAGTTCCTTGCACTGCCCAGGTCACGCCAAAATGAGTCGCTGTCTGGCCCCTTGCGTGCGCCATGGTGTTCTGTGGTTCCGTACCGTGCCTGGTTAATCCCGCAATTGTTTTGTTGCTGCCCCATGGATGTCCCGCGGTTTTCTCGTGGCACTCCACGGGACACCACGGGACACCTGTCGATCTCACGATCGATCTCACTCAACGGGACACCACGGGACACCTCGGGGCACCACATCGATCTCACGATCGATCTCACTATCGATCTCACGGTCGTTCTCACTCAACGGGACACCACGGGACACCTTGGACACCCAGGACACCGCCCGGCCCATTTGGGACACCTCCCGGCCACCGGCGGACGGGAAACGGATTTTCGCTCCTACTGACACCTGGGACACCCGGGACACCGCCTGGCCCAACCGGCCACAGGCGGACGGGCGCACGGACTTTCGCTCCGACTTCGGCATAGCTACAGGAGGATCACGCGCAGCTTCGACTCGCCCGCACGCATGACACGAAACCGAAACCGATTTCCTGGTGGGGGGTCCCCGTTTCACTGCGATCTCACCCCCCAGACTCCGATACCTATACGAACACCGTTCGGGTGATGAGGAGGTTGTGGGGGGGGAGAGGGGGGGGAACCAACATCTGTCTCGATCGATCTCACTATCGATCTCACTCAACGGGACACCACGGGACACTTGTCGATTTCACGATCGATCTCACTATCGATCTCACTCAACGGGACACCACCGAACACCACGGGACTCCGCGGGACACAACATCGATTTCATTATCGATCTCACGATCGATCTCACTATCGATCTCACTCAACGAGACACCATGGGACACCTCGGGACACCTGTCGATCTCACTAATGATCTCATGATCGATCTCACTCAGCGGGACACCACGGGACACCACGGGGCACCACATCGATGTCAGTATCGATTTCATGATCGATCTCTCTCAACGGAACACCACGGGACACCACGGGTCACCGCATCGATCTCACTATCGATCTCACTATCGATCTCACTATCGATCTCACTCAACGGGACTCCACGGGACACCTCGGGGCACCACATCGATCTGTGTAACGATCTCACTATCGATCTCACGATCGATCTCACCCAACGGGACACCTCGGGGCACCGCCGGACACCGCCGGGACACCGCGGGCCCAGTCCCAGCCACCGGCGGACGGGACACCACGGGACACCACGGGACACCGGCGGGACACCGCAGCTTCGCGCAGCTTCGCGTCGCCCGCACGCACGACACGAACACGAAACCGAAACCGACTTCCTGGTGGGGGGTCCCCGTTTCGCTGCGATCTCACCCCCAAACTTCCGATACATTATATATATATATATATGTATACACGGATATCGTATGACATACCTATACGACCGCCCTGCGGGCGATAATGAGGTTGGGGGGGGATTGAGATCAAATGCCCACCCTGACTGACCTCCAGCCTGTCACCTTGATCTTATCTCTCTCTTTCTCTCCGTGTCTCTCTCTCTCTATCGCCCTCTCTCTCTCTTTCTCTCTATCAGAGACTCCCCCCACCACAATGATGATCGCGATGACGATGAGATCCCACGATTCACCTATCCGTCGACCGACCTATCGGTGAATCTCACTGTCGATCTCACTATCGACCTCGAAAGGCGCCGCGGGCGCCGAAAAACGTTTTGTTGTCGGACAACCACAGGACAACCATCGGCACAACCACCAGACAACCATCAGGCGATCGCGCCCAGGCGCCGACAAAAATGAATTGATGGATTGGGTTGGGTGGATTGGATTGGATGGGGTAAGATGGATTGGATAAGATAGGATGGGTTGGATTGGAAGAGATGGACTGGATAAGATAAACTGGATTGTATTGGCCCGCCGCAGGCGCAGAAACAAATTAATTGATGCATTTGGTTAGATGGATTGGATTGGGAGGGATAATATAAGATGGGACAATATGGGTTGGAAAAGATAAGATGGATTGGATTGGACAATATGGATTGGATAAGATAAGCTGGATTGGGTCAGAAAGCCCGCCGCAGGCGCCGAAAAAACATGAATTATGAAATTAGCGACATGCGTTAGCGCGGGGACGCCCGGGACACCCGGGACACCCGGGACACCGCCCGGCTCAATTTGGACACCTCCCGGCCACCGGCGGACGGGAAACGGACTTTCGCTCCTACTGACACCCGGGACACCCGGGACACCGCCCGGCCCAACTGGGACACTTCCCAGCCACTGGCGGACGGGAACGGACTTTCGCTCCTACTTCGGCCTAGCTGCAGGACGATCACGCGCAGCTTCGCCTCGCCCGCACGCACGACACGAACACGAAACCGAAACCGATTTCCCGATGGGGGGTCTCCGTGTCACTGCGATCTCCCCACCCAACCTCCGATACGAGATGTATATAAGCGCGTCTCCCATAGCAACCGGGGGCCACTGACCCCAAACATGGCGTTGCGTCGTGTGGCTCGGTGGTAGTCAAAAAGCATTGTGGTGCGTTGGTGATAAGCACGGCTCAGCATTGGTGATAAGCATGCCTCGGCGTTGGGCATGTCTCGGCGTTGGTGGACGGCTCGGCAGTGGTGATGTCGCCTGCACATGCATATACATGAATACATAAACCAATCGGTAGATGTGTGGACGTGCACAACCTAGATGTATGTAAGGCTTGCCTTTGGTGCTTCCGCGGGAAGGCCCGGGCACCAGCATTGGGGACATGAAGTATCATGTGTTATCTTGCTGTCATTATCGGCAGTTTTCTTTCTCGTTCTCCAAACTTGCGCTGGGTAAGAACAATATCCCCCCCCCCCGCATGAGCAAATGTGGGGTCAACGTCAGCAGGTTCATGTTCATAGACCCGTGGGACTCTTGCAGTTTGGGGACCCCGTATGCCACCCGGATGTTCCATTGGTAGTTGATTTTGATGTTTTTTGTTGTCAGATGTCACGTTCGGAGTCACATTTAGGATTTAGGAATCAACGTCTGGTTCATAGCAGAACATTGGGCGCGAGCAGGGAGGTCGATGTGGGAGGGGGGGGTCGGACACTTTTTGTTTTTGTTCCTGCAAGGCTGCAGCGCGGCCGAACACAACCATCTTCTTTATGGGCGACACCAAAGGCGACGCCTGAAGGAGCCGAACTGGGCGGCGGGGGAGAGGGAGGCGAATTTTCTGACATTCGTCATGCGGAAGACTGTGCGAAATTCAGGCTCCCATTCGTCGTAAACGATTGTATCTGTCATCAGGAAGACGGTTGCGCGACAAATCAGGAAGAACGTTCGAGCAAACGTAACTGATTAGTGTTATTCGGACCTCCGCTCCCCCCGACAATCACCCTGAGTGTTGCGACCAGGGCCTTGGGCACAGATGCCCAATTGCCCAGGGAAGCACGCTTTCGCCGTGAAGGCGCCTCTCCCCGCTCGTTCCCTTTCCCCACCCTCCTTTGAATGTATGGGTGGTTATTAGAGTGTCAGTCGCCCATTTTGATTCCTGGAGCGGGTGGATAGTACCCTTTCCTTCGCGAAGTCTAGCAGAGGCAGCGCACATTGGTATTGGCTATCGCTGGTCGCTTGCCAGCTGCTTCTTCGTTTACTAACAACAGGGCGTCGCAGTCGCCGCCCACGTCTGCAGCGCGGACGCGACGTAGGCAGTTCCCCTTGAGTCGGTGAGCGGTTGGGATTGCAGTGGGAACGCATGGCAGGTTGTGTGTCCGATGCGCGAAATTACCCCAGAGAAGCGGATGCGCATGCCATATATATATATATATATATATATATGCGTTCAGAAGTATCACGATGTGTTTACACACGTGTATGTACATGTAAACATACATATATCCATGTAACCACCAGTCGCAGCCCGCACGGATAAGCGCGATGGGGTTGCTGACATGTATTGGCCCAAGTGTTGCCCTTGGTGTTGCCCATAAGTAGTGCCCACTTGAATTTCCCCCTTCATGTACTGCCCCAAAGTAGTACCCCCCCCGTATTGCTCCCATGTATTGGCCCCATGTTTCGCCCCTATGGAATGCCCCCAAGTAATGGGTCCTGGTGCTGCCCCAATTGTCGCCGACGTTAACTGCCCCCAGGTATCGCCCCAGAGACCGAGCCCTCCAGCCAGCTACGCGCGCGCAGCTGAGCAGTAAGTCCATATTTGGGCACGTTCATTCTGCGACATATAGCGGCCCGCGCGGGCCCCAAGAGAAGTTCAAGATGGCCGAAACCAATGAAACGCATTGATGTTGTCGTCGTCGTCGTCGTCGTCGTCGTCGTCGTCGTCGTCGCCACCGAGGGAGGCCCCACAAGCCCCAAGAGAGACCCAATGCGTTTCAAACATTGCAGAAACGCCCTGAGGATGGCTACGAGAGTACAGAGATGTCCCACGACACTTCCATGGCGGCTTCCATGACGGCTTCCATGACGACACAAGCTTCCAAACTATGGCCCTCGCATGGCCCTACATTCCCTCCTCCTTTTCCTCGTCGTCGTCACCACGTCGTCGTTACCACCGAGGGAGGCGCGCAGGCCCCAAGAAGAAGCCCATACGGTTCGAATAAGGTTGAAGGGGGGGGCCAAGAAAGCGCGCGCTGTTCCAAGAGGCTCCCGAAACGCCACAAGTTTCCACAAGATGGCCCTAGCATGGCCTTACACTTCCTCCTTTCCCCCGTCGTCTTCGCTGCCGTCGTCACGATCGAGGGAGGCTCGAGACTCGAGCATATCGAGTCGTTTGAGGTCGGAGCCCCCTGCCTCCTGCTGGTTGGCTGTTATGTGTGTGTGTGTGTGCCGTGTCGTCGTCGAGGGCGAGTGTTTGTCAGAGCTTACGCGCGCTCCAAGTGCGCGCGTGGGTCTAGCACACGTATGTACATATGTGCACGTATGTGTATGACAGGCGCGCATGCCCCTGCGACCCCACTGCACCTCGGGTGGAGGGGCGCGCACAGGATCCGCCGCCGTCGCGGGCTCGGGGCAGCTCACCCCTGGGACGGCGACCTACGCCAGGGGCCAGATGCTGGGTTCGTCGCCGAGTGGGAATGTGTCGACGCCGGGCCAAGCGCTGAGGCCGTCCCCGAGCGCGAGCCTGTCGACGTCGACGGGAACGAGGGCGAGGCCTTCCTTCAGGGACTTGCTGGGGCCTTGGTGGGTGGCTGGAAGCGGCCCTTGAGCTGGACCATGGGGGGAAAGCATTGCAGAGAAGATTTCCTCGGGGGGAGCAGGAGAACGAGGAGGAGGAGGAGGAGGAGGAGAACGAGAAGTATGAGAATTGAGGTCCCAAGATGCCCCCAAGACGGCCCAACACGGATGAGTTTCCAGCTGGTCACCAAGCGCATGCGCGCACACATGCACATAAGGTGCGACGCACAAAACGCATAGCACGCACAGCACCGAAACATTCAACGCACAGCGTACAGTAGACATCACGGTACGAGGTTTTTAATGAAGGGAGCAATCAGGATTGCCCTCTTGAGGGGCAGCGGATCTCTCCCCCAGGCTGTGTACACTGGGGAACAAGCATAGATCACGACGCGGACAGACGGCTCCACGCACATAACACACCACATCGTCCGATGCACACAATGTGCCCAAGACAAAAAGACGTACACGTTATAGGAGCGGCACAGCACGTACCTTTTCTTTTTGCAGGTGGGCGCGCAGGGATCCCGTTGGCTTCGCGACAGCGGGCGGCAGATGGGGGCACGTGCCCCGGTCTCAATTTTGAGCCCCGTTCATACAATGACTTCCACGTCCGCGCTGGGCACGCATTCCGGCACTTGCGCACAAGGATTTCACCTTCTGAGCGCGCCCCCAACGCGCTCCTCCCCCCGCCTGCCGTGCCCACTTCGGCCACGTGCTTCACACGTCTTCCTTTGAACGCGGCTCGGATTTGCGCCGTTGCGACAAAGACATATGAGCGCCCAGGAACCCCCGGATCACAGTTTGGGAGGTCCGGAGTCGGGACGCGTCAGAACCTACAATCTTTCCACGCTTCCTCTGCGTGTTGAAGGCACTACGGCAGATTTGACCACTGTGGCATCCCTATGGCGAGACGTGGGTCGGGAACGATAAGGACAACGGAGCAGTCACAGGGAGGCGGCTGAGTAGCAGGGGGAGGGACGAGGAAAGAGAGGGTGTCGAGGAGGCGGAGGAGCAGAGAAGAGAGGAGGGAGGATAGATGTGATCTTCCTCGCCTCTCTTATCTGCCTCATCTCTCTTCCTCTCTCTCTCTCTCTTTCCCACCTTCGTTTATTTGTTTCTTTCTCTTTCTCTCTAACTCTCTCTCTCTCTCTCTGTATCTTGCGTTCTTCCCCAACCATCCTGTGGTGTTGGCTCCTCGTTTTGAAGAGACAGCGCTCTCCTCTCCTCTCCTCGCCTCTCCTCTCCTTCCTTCTCCTCCTCCTCCTCCCTCCTCCCATCTCTGCCTCTGCTCACCGCATGTCCACCATTTTGGCACACCCTCTCACACGTTTCGTGGGCCCATTGGGAGTTCCACCGAAGGCCCCCCATGGGAAAGGTCGCATGGCACAACCGCCTCTATTTCGGCACACCCTCACACGTTCCGTGGCCCCATAGATAGCTCCGCCGAAGGCCCCATTCGGAAAGTTCGCATGGCACCGCCGCCCCATTTCGGCAAACCACTCACACGTTGCGTGGCCCGATAGGGAGCCCCACAGAAGGCCTCAGTGGGAATGTTCGCATGGCACCGCCGCCCCATTTCGGCACACCCCACACCCGCATCGTGGCCCCATAAGGAGCTCCGCCGAAGGCCCCTGCTGGAAAATTCGCATGGCACCGCCGCCCCATTTCGGCAAACCACTCACACGTTTCGTGGCCCCAAACGGAGCTCCACCAAGGGCCCCAATTGGAAAGTTCGCATGGCACCGCCGTCCAATTTCAGCACCCCCGTCGCACGGTTCGCGGCCCCATAGTGTGGCCCCACCGAAGACAGTTTTCCTCCCTCCTCCCATTCCTGCCCCTGCTCACCGCGTGTCCACCATTGTGGCACACCCCCATCACACGCTTCGTGGCTCGATAGGGAGCTCCACCTAAGGCCTTAGTGGCAGGGTTCGCATGGCACGGCCGCCTCCAAACTGCACGGGCTTCCCGTTCTCGCACGGCAGGGCCATCACCACGGCGGCGTGCCAGGGGCGCACCATGAGAGAAGGCGACGGGGCGAGGGAATGGCGCTCACGGGCAGTCTGCTGCCACGCCGCCTTGGCGCGAGCAGTCTACGCCCCGCGCCCCTTCGGCAATGTGGATTCGCCCTGGGCGGTCGGCTACCCAGTGCGCTGCTCCCTCGGCCGACGTCGCCCAGGCGCACTCCTGGACTGCGGCCGCCACGAAGTCGGGAACGGCAAGAAGGAGGACGTCGATTGTTGGCTGGTGCTTTACGCGCTGCTCTCGCGCGCCACGCGCCACGAGGACCTCCTGCCCATGGAGGCGCCGCGCATCGAGTTCTTCCTGGCAGGGCCGCCGGAGGGCGCGCCGGCCGGAGCAGCTTGCGAATCGCACGAGGCGGTGCAGGAGGGAGGCGACGCCCCTCGCCAAGGTTCTGGGCTCCACCGAGTTTGTCAGCGATGCCTGGCTTAATCGCGCCTTAATCGGTTTGCTTCCAGCCTGGGGCGACCTGCGCGCGTCGCCGAGATCCCCGCGCGGCGACGGGCGCGCGTCGCGGGGGCTCCGCGCCGCTCTCCGCGGGGCGCCTCGCTCGCTCGGCGACGCGCTGTCCAGCGGTCAGCTCAGCGACGCGCTGCCCAGCGGCCAGCGCCTGTTCCGCCGTCGGCCTGCTAGCTAGCTTTCTCTGCTCCGCGCAGCGGACGACCCGCGCGCGTCGCCCTGGCCCCTGCGGGGCAACCGGCGCGCGTCGCGGGGGGGGCCCAACGTGCTTCAGCACCCGGCTCGGGCTGCTCAAACGAGCGCTTCCGTATTCAAATATCCTGTTCGCGGCGGTTCGGTGTTCAAAATGCTTGAGGACTCGGTCGGGCTGGGCTCCGAGCTCTTTGCAGCGTTTCGATTTTAAAATTGCAGTTTGCGGCGTTTCGGTCTTCAAAATAGCGCCCGGCCCCAGCTGCTCAGATTGGCGTTTCCAGCGTTTTCGTGTGCAAAATTGCTGTCTGCGGCCGTTCGGTGCTCAAAATTTCTTTTTGGAGCGTTTTGGCGTTGAAAGTGCTTGAGAATCCGGCTCCAGCTCCGCGTTGAAAATGTTGTTTGCAGCGCTTCGGTGTTCAAGTTTGCTTTTTGCGGCGTTTCGGTTTTCAAAATGCTTCGGCGCTCGCATCAGATTAGCGTTTCCAGCGTTTCCGTACTCAAAATTGATGTTTGCAGTGGTTCGGTGCTGAGAATGATCTTGAGCTCGGTCGAGCCGAGCTCCGAGCTCCTACGGTTTCCGGGTTTCAGATTCCGGGTGCGGGTCGCACTTCGTCCCGGGCGCCAGGCCCTGGCTGGCCCGGGCTCCGGGCGCTCTGGATCTCAGGACTTCGGCTCTGCGCCGCAACGGCAGTGCCGCCGCCGCGTGCGTGGCCAGCGCCGCCTGCAGGGCTGCCAGCCGCATATTCGAAGATGCCGCTGATGGCTGAGCCAGCTGCAGATGCAACGCCAGCCGCAACAACCGCGGGGCAACCTGCTAACGACGCGTTGCTCGGGCGCACGGAGAGGGGCAATGCGCCCAGCGGCAGGGCGCGGGGCAACCCGCTGCGTCAGCGCCGCGTGGGCAGCCCAGTCAGCGCGGGAAGTTCCGCCCGTGCCATGTGTGAACGTGATGTGCTACAGACAGTCTTGATGGCCAGTGCCGATGGGCAGTCAACGATGCGCTCCGAAGAGGATACTCTCCAGAACATTTAACTGACCCTGCAATCACCCCGATAGTTATTACCTAAGTGACTGGATCCTCCCGCGGTTCCCGATCACAGAGGATGAGTCGCGGGCTTGCACGAGTGCGTTCGCACACACATGCGTAAAAACGCGCGAATGGGTCCTGGGGCAGAGGCGCCTGAAGGGCGCGATCGGTATGGCGTTGACGATGGTCCTGGGCTGCTCTGGCGAACGCCGCGAGCTGGTCCTGGCGGCGAACATCGGCGCCGCGATCGATGGCGCGCTAGCGATCCTGCCGGGCATCGGCAGCAACATCAGCATCATCGGCCCAAGGACGGCGCAGATGTTCGAGCCGATCTCGCGTGCCCACGGTGGCAACGTGAAAGGTTAATCTTATGCAATCCACTATGCGTGACTGGGGCGGGCCAGGGGCCGCGGCGTGCAGGGCGTCGGGCCGCTGCGGGATCGCCTGCCATTGCAAGGGGTAACCTTGCGGGGAAACCTGTTGCCGCACAACTGGGCACCTACTCGGCCAACGTGGCCGAAGGGTCCAGTGAGCACCTGCCCGCTTTCTTTGGCCTGAGGAGCGCGTCGCCCATGCGTGCCATCTTGATCTTGGAGACTGGCAGCGAGAAAATGGTCACTCCAGGCACGGGCGCGCGAAATCTTCCCTGGCGAGGGCGCTCGGGCGATCGACTTGTCGAGGGCGCCATCGGGGCACCTGGCGATCAAGGCCGACGCGCGCCACCGAGAGGGAGACAGCGTTCACCTTCGCGGCCTCGCCGGACTTCGAGCAGCATATCGTCGAGGAGACCGTCGACGCGGCGAACGGAGCGAGGCAGCCTGCGTCGCGCTGCGCGGGGCAACCCGCTTGCGTGGATGCCCGCGCGCACATGATGATGCAGAACACCAGGGGCATCATCCATGACATCCAGGACGCGCTCGCGCTCGCGATCAACAGCATGGCGGACAGTGCGTTGACGACTGGGTACCATAAGTAGCGCGCCGACGCCTCAAGATCAGGACATCGCTGTGAAGGCGCTCCAGGCGAATCTCTACCCGCAATTCACAATGAGGGTGCGCGGTGGGTGCCGCGCGAGCTCTCGTGCTGGCTTGCCTGCTACTACAAACGGTTCGGCGACAGATGCTGAGAGGTGCGAGATCGGCACCTCGAGCAATGAGATGCCGCTCGCGCCTGACAATTCTGCAGGCTACAGTCCGGTCACGGGCCCGAGTCAGTCGGCGACGTGGACACCGCCGTCGCTCGCGAGAGAGGGACGGGGGCAGACGAGTGCCACGGCGACATTCGCTTTCGGAGA